GCGGGCGGAGGTTCCGTCGGAGCCCTCCCGGCCCCCTCGGCGCGGAGGAGCGAAGGCGGAAAGGAGAGCCCGCCCTGCAGGGTCCCCCGTGCCGCTCGTCGCCCGAGGGCAGCATCGCGCCCCGCCGGCGCCCGGGACCGGACAGCCGCTTCTGCGCCTCTCCCCAGCTTCGTGCTTTTCCCTGGCGCGTCCCCGTCCGGATGTGTGACGATGACTAGGGATTCCAGCGAATCCCAAGGAAAATACTCGGACCTGGAACAGCAGCCTCCAGCTTTTCCTGCAGTGGCCGGGTACTCCAAGTGGAGTTTAACGCCTCCTCCTTCCTTCTCCTACTTACCCTGTGTTTTAACCGGACGCAGACCTGCCAGTTGGCAGAGGATGGCCGGGTATTTTGGGGGGAGGGAGTTGTTTGTTTTTGGCGCTGGTGATTGAACGCAGAACCTTTTCAGTGAGCTACATTCCCAGGCCCCCGCCCCTTTAACTTTTTTTTAAATTTTGAGACTGCAGAGTTCCCTAGGCTGAGCTTGAATTAAACATCCTCCTGCCTCAGCCTCCTGAGTGCTGGGATTACAGGCGTGGGCCACCACGGCCCTTTACTTTTTGTTAGTTTTCTACCCTTCCAGACTCCTGGGGGCAAATTCAAGCGCAGTGGAGAAAGTCAAACTAGGAGTCGTTTTCTTCCTGATCCTCGACTGCTTGGGAAGTTTCACATATTTCCAAAAGGGAGAGGGAGAACAAGGAGGGCAGAGGGCAGGGGCAAAAGGCCAGGCACAAGGACCACCAAGAAAGCGACTTCCACCAGGTGATAGGGAGAGAGATCCCAGGAGAGTGTGAGCACGCGGCTTGCCTCAGGTTTCCAGGACAAAAGGAAAGCAAACAAGGCAAGCTGTTACTATGGCCAATGAAAGTACCTCCTCAAAATGACAGGAATGTCATCACAGAGTAGGAGAGAATATAGGAGAAAGAGCACCGAGCAAAGCGAGCTGAGTCCCAGCCCAGCTGTCCGGGAAAGCCGCGTGGACCGGGACCCACCTCCGCAGGCCTCTCCAGCCTCGAGTGTCCCGGAGGGCTCACAGCGGACGGGCTTTCACAGCAGAGAAGGCCAGGACTCCATTTTGAAGGAGATGAGGTTTTTAGATCTCCTTTTCCCAGTTCATTTTTCTCCATACCTGTCGAAGAACCTACACCATGCGAAGTCTACTCGCAGCTCCACTGTAGATTCGGCGCTCATCCCAGAGGGAACTGCTTGTGCAAATTTAATGTTTGCCAAAAAAAAAAGAAAAAAAAATTAATGTTTGCTCACCACGTAGATTACTGACTGCTTCCGTATATTAAACATCACATAAATGGAAATATGAGCCGTAAGGCAAGAGAATGTAAGTAGTAGGGCCGATTTGACCCGAGGAAAGAAGATATAATGTGGTTTAAACTTGAAAGTGTTTGGTCACGTGGCAACTTTGTGATTCTCAGCTTGGCTTAGACTGGCAAAAGGTGACCTGCCATATCCAAGGGCCCAGTTCCTACCAGCTGTGGAAGACTCCAACGTGGATAGAAGCTGGGTATGATGGGTGCACCTCTAATCCCAGCACTCTGGGAGGCTGAGGCAGGAAGATCACAGATTAGAACCCAGCCTTAGCAACATAGCAAGACCTTGTCTAAAAGCGAAGCAAAACAAATAACTAGGGAGGTACAAAGTATGATCCAAAATACAGTGTTTAAATTAAAAATTTATTAGGATGAAAACCACACTGCCACTAGTTACCCTCAAAATTCTCCCCCTTGATAAGAACTTTCTTTGTTTTTTGGCTTTTTGTGTTGTTTTGTTTTTGTTTTGAGACACAGTCTTGCTATGTAGTTCAGGCTGGCCTAGAGCTCACTGGCCTCAAACTCGTGGCAGTCCTGCCTCAGTCTCCCCAGTGCTGGGATTACAGCCACTCCCCACCTTGTGTGGCTCTTGCCACTTTCCGAAGCAATTCTAGAAGTCCTCTTTGGCGAGTGTCTTTATAAAGTCTAGTCAAAAATACGGTGCATGCTGCTGCCTACCACCATCCAATAAAAAGGCAGGTCCCTCCTTTAAAGCATTCCTCATCCATCTGATTCACCAAATACGGCGCCATGTGACTTCTGGCTCTTCCTCAAAGTCAAAATGGCCACGAAAGGTAAATTTTTTTTGGTTTTGTTTTTATTTTTTGAGACAGGGTCTCACTATGTAGTTCAGGTTGGCCTCGAACTCACTCTAGCTGAGGCTGGCCTTGAATTTGTGGCAATCCTGCCTCAGCCTCCTGGGTGGTGGGGTTACGGGCATGCACCACCATGCCTAGCTAGATAAACAGTTTGAATGAATTCAGGACATTGTAGTAGCCAGAGTAGTGCAACAAAAGACATGAAAGACTTCCAGAACTGTTTCAGAGGGTGGCAGGAATGACGACCCAAGTGTTTGAAAAAGGGGAGTAGTTTGCAGAAGATTCAGGGCAGTGTGTATTTTAGTATAATTTTACAATTTTTCTTTTCTTTGAGACAGGTCTTGCTACACAGTTCAGGCTGGCCTTGAGCTCACTTTGTAGCCCAGGCTGGTCTCAAACTCACAACAGTCCTCCTGCCTCAGCCTCCCGAGTGCTGGGATTACAGGCCTGCGCCACCACACCCAGCTGTAATTTTTAAAATTTAAATATTCACTGTATCTTCTAATCATACCTCATAGTTTAGTGGCAGGAAACCCTTGGCTTCCGTACCCAGTACAGAAAAAATTAGTGTTCATATTGGCCATCTAGTCCTTCTTACCTTGAGGAAGTGAATGAAAAGTCCTGTAATCCCACAGCACTCAGGAGGCTGAGGCTGGAGGATCGCTGGGAGTTCAAGGCCAGCCTGGAGTATGATAGTGAGACCCTGTCTGAAGAAAAAAAGAAAAAGTCCTTCAGATACATGTTCATGTCACAGAAGACCACAGAGATGACTGGACATGCCTCAGACTGGTTTTGCTATTCCCCAAGGTATGTTCTGCAGATTTTGATAGGTTAGTAATGCATCAGATCCGGGCATGGAGGCGCACACCTGTAATCCCAGCACTAAGAAGGCTGAAGGAGGATTGTTACGATCCAGCCTGCACTACATGGTGAGACCCTGTCTGTCAAAAAAAAAAAAAAAAAAATCAGAGTAAAGGTTACTTGATGAAGTAACTTCAGGAGAACTTTGGATTAACTTCAAACAGAATCCTTTATTGCTCTCCTTGTTAGAGCCTATAATATGTGTGTCAGTCTCCCCCCGGGAAGACTGGGGGACTCTCAGTTTTCATAGCATTTGCTTTTGGAGCCACTACTATGCTATTTTTCTACACTCTAAATCTTTTTTTTTTGTTTGTTTGTTTGTTTTTCTCCGGTACCGGGAACGGAACTCACGACCTTGCGCTTGCCAGGCAGGCGCTTTTGCCGCTGAGCTAAATCCCCAGCCCTACTATGCTATTTTTGATGCTGGCTGGTTGTCCCCTCACGGGAAAGGTGTTCTGAACAAGACACTGGAAAAAACTAGAGTAGCTTAACACACTTGTCCAGCATTTTCTTCATCAACAAGGTGGTTGCCCGTCTGCTGCGTGGTGGACAGGGCTCAGAACCTTCCCCGTGAGGCCGGCCTGCTGCGCTGCTGCTCGTCCATTTCTGGAAGGAGCCTGGGGCGTGCTGGCCGGGGAGACAGACCCCACTCGAAGTGCTCAGTTCTAACCCTGTCCCTGCCTCTTAACCAGCCATGCAGCGTTACGGAAGATACTCAGCCGCTCTGAATCTCAGCTTGTCCATAAATTGGTGTTGCTACTTCCCAGGACTATCCGGGAATTAAGTGAGATGGTGTACGCGCCTGACAGTAATCCCTGAATTAACGGCCCCTCAGTGTAACGTCCCGTTTCTGCCAAGGGTTTGTACATTTATCATTCGATTGACTTGGCAGTTTAACTTGGGAAACCATTTGCCGCTGTTCTGAGTCAGTCAGTGGTCCTGTTTTCTTCATAGCAGAAAAAGGATTTGATATCTTTTTAATACAAGCATGATGTCTGTGTGGAGTAGAGAAAAACATTAAAAAAAACTTCCAATCTATTTGTTTATGTTCTCACTCCACCCCCAGAATTCAGGGGTTTTGTTGTTTCTTGGTTGTGGTTTTGGTTGGTTTTTCTGGGGATGGAATGTACAGAGCCTGCACCCCCACCAAGGTATGTAGAAGTAAGGAATGTTGTGAACGTTATTCCCACTGTGAAGTATTCCAGGCGGGCTAGGGGAGAACACAGAGGGTATTTGTAGTCTCCACTGGGTTTCAGACCTACCTTTACCCCTTGGTTTCCTCATCTGAAAACTTTGGCCAGCGCACTAATCCCACCAGTCGTTGTAATTAAAATCCAAATGACATTGGGAAGTGCCTTGCAACCACGCCCAAGGGAGTAGGCATTTGGTCAGTGTTGTTTCCTTTCTTGTCTCATTTCTAAGAAAATGGAAAGGTGTCTGGGTGCCAGAAAAGTGCACCGTGGAGTTTAAAAGCTCAGATCGCACCCTTGTAATGTTCTCTGCCCACCACCGCACTGTAGCTACTCTTTGCACACCCTCCTGCCGCCCTGCTGGGTTCGGCTGTTGGGAAGCAAGTCTGACACAGTTTGCACTTACACCTGGGACATTCTTCCTGATGCAGTGGAGAGCAGCCTCCCCTCTGTGACGTCCTCCTTCAGCTCCCTTCAACTCCCTCCCCACATGTTAGATTTTTGTTTTGTTTGTTTTGTTTGTTTTTGTCTTTTTGAGACAGGGTCTCGCTATGCAGTTCAGGCTGGCCTTGAGCTCACTGTGTAGCCCACGCTGGTCTCGAACTCGCAACAATCCTCCTGCCTCAGCCTCCCGAGGTGCTGGGATTACAGGCATGCGCCACCATGCCCAGCTGTTAGTTTTTAAAAATCCTTATCATTCTCCTGTTCCTTCTTCCCAGCACCCGAAATGTAAAAAGGAGGGATAAAAGAATAAATTCCAGTTTAGGGCTGGCGGACATAGCTCAGTGACGGAGCACCTAGCTCGTACAAGGCCCGGAATTCCTTCCATTCCCAACATGGGGAGGAGGAGGGACTCTGCTTTATTTTTGTGTTTGTTTTGGTTGTGTGTGTGTGTGTTTCATCTTGAGACAGGGTCTCCCTCAGGCTGGGCTTGAGCTCACTTTGTAGCCCACGCTGGTCTCGAGCTTGCAACAATCCTCCTGCCTCAGCCTCCCGAGTGTTGGGATTATAGGGGTGTGCCACCACGCCCACTGGGGCTCCGCTTTAGTGTGAGAT